AAAATACTTTAAATGATTAAGTTAACTAAAGAAAAAATATCGTGAACACATTATATTTCACAATTCCACAACTACTGTTGCTGTCATCTTGTGTCACTGGAAAATTTTAGAAAAACATATTAAATGGATAGTCAATTTATAATGAGCAAAAATGGTGAATGACTCTTTTTGGCTCAATGGAGAAGATGAATGACTCATTATAAATTGACTACCCATTTAATATGTCTTTCTAAATTTTTCCAGTGACACAAGATAACAGCAACAGTAGTTGTGGAATTGTGAAAAATAATGTGTTCACGATATTTTTTCTTTATTTAACTTAATCATTTAAAATATTTTCAGATTCATGTTGGTGCTACTGTTACTTATGGACTAAGTTGAAGGCGGGAAAAAGGGGTGAAGTGAGTGAGGACAATTTTACCCTTGTTTATGGAAAGAAAAAGGTATTTTTGTATTTAATTAACGGAAAAACTGACAGAATATGGATGGAAGGACGTTCAGCGCAAAGAAAGGTTGAAATGCGGGGAAAAAATGCCAAAAAATGAAAAGTATGGACGTTTTCCACAATAGACTTGAAAGGTAGGGACGTTTTGTGCCAATTACCCTTTAATTAACGGAAAAACTGACGGAATATGGACGGAAGGACGTCCAGCGCAAAGAAAGGTTGAAATGAGGGCAAAAATGCCAAAAAATGAAAGGTAGGGACGTTTTCTACAATAGACTTAAAAGGTAGGGACGTTTTGTGCCAATTACCCTTATTTGACTAATTCACTCTCCAATTCATAGTCTAATATCATAAAATTTCAATAAATCACCAGCTGGTCCCACCACTTCAATTCTGAATTCTTTTCCAATTTCAAATTCTCAACCGCCGTCAACTAACGCCGTTATTTTATTCCATCCCACCCCACGCCACGCCCACTCCGATAACCATCTGCTGCAGAAGACAAACAAATCCACTGTCACACACAAAAACACACGCACAGTGTGGAGAGAGCTCAAGAAATCTCTCGATAAGGCAAACCCAGAAGACAAACAAGCGTAAAACATTAAATTTGAAATTATATGTAGGAGAAATTTCCCACATTTTCAATTCTCTTTTTCTCTCTATATATGTGTTACAATTCTATCAGTTTTTATTATTTGGTTTAATTTATGGGTTTTAATGTAAGCAGATCTGTATACGGTGTCAGCTTATTTGTTTTCCTTCCTTCAAATTATAATCTGCATTTTACATTTTTTTTAGCTTTTATTTTAATTGAATTCTATGGGATTTATGTAAATTTCTTTGATTCTTGAATAAGATTATTGGACCTGATAATTGAATTTTCTCATGTGTTGAAGTAATTGACGCGGCAGTGTTAGTGTTTAGTACCCTGTGAATGGAGGGCTCTATTCCTGTAACTTATTTTGTCAATCATTGTACGAAGGATGCCTTATATTTTTCATTTTCGTGTGTAATTTGAAACGTGGCAACAGAAGACAGCTTAAATTGGATACATTTCTTTAGATTTTCGTAAAATTTTCTGTTATGATTCTTCTGCTGAATAGATATTTTAATTTTGAGCTTCGGTATGCATGTAAATGGCTTATCTCATTTATGGGTTGGGGCTAAATTTTAAAAAGCTTTAACTTTTAGATAGGGTAATTCAACATATTACCAAACATTTCACCGCTAGCGGTTTATAATCTACTGTCCAGCCTTTGATAAAGAATGAGTTTGAGATGTTGACTAACAGAAGATTAGTGCTAAGTCCTTCTGATGCACTGATAAGCATGCATGTATGCCAAATGTATGATTCCCGTGGACATGTGTATTTTGCGTAAATGTTTGGCAGGACTATGCAAAGCCTTGTGAAATAATTATGTGCCTTTCATTTTCTTTACTTTCTGGAAGACACAATGATCACGTTTATCATCTTTAATTATCTGGATTTTATATTAGTTCCATATGACGCGGCTTCAATTAACGTTAATGATTTTAGCTTCTTTCACTGTATTGTAATGTTAAACGAATTTCTGAACTTAATCTCATTTCCACATATGGGTTTGTGTATAATTTGCAAGTTCTTAGATGAGGTGGTTCATTTGGTATAGGAATAGGTTCGAGTCTTGCTGCCAACCATTTATGGATTTTGCACATGTTAGGCCCTTGATGAAATGCGGGCATACTCAAGATAAACAAAAAATTTCCTCTCTTTAGCGGCTTAACTTGCAGA